ATCATAAATTCGTAAATTGTTTATGAGTCGTACCGAATTGCTAAAGCGACGCGCAGGCGTTGGCGGCCTAGCAGGGTAGCCCGTGAAAGGCGCAGGAGAGTGTTTATAAATAAATAAATAAATTTATGTGTCGCTTCTGTTGCCACAATTCTACTATGATTGCGTTGAAGTGTTTGCTGCCGCTGCTGTTATTACTTTTCCTCTCTTTGTTGTTGTTGTTGTTGTTGTTGGTGTTGGTGATGGTGATGGTGATGGTGGTGGTGATGGTGATGGTGGTGGTGGTAATAAATTTGTAATGTCACATTGACAGTTTTTTGGTGGCGTGTTGATGCCGGTCTTTGGCGGTCTTTGGCGGTCGGTGGTGGTGGCTCCGACGCTTTTACATGCAGTTGTCTGTATGTTTGTGCTTGTTTGTACGTAATTTTGTTTAAGTTCTCGCTTGCATGTAAATTAGCTCACTCCACTCCACCCCAATTCACTCCATTCCTCACTTTGACTTGTTACAACAACAGCACCAACAAAAGCCGTATGTTTCGCTGAGAACTTCATTAAGTTTTTTGAATTTGGGTAATTGGCAAAAATTTTCGGGTGTAAATTTGAAATTATTTTCAATTATTTCGTTGCACATTTATTATGTCATAAATAAAAAATTTATGGGTATGCATGTGCCAATTGATGGGTTAATAGCAGAACGTAATTTTACACACAGACATTTCATGGTGACTTTTATTGATAACAACGCACGGAAAATAGAATAGATATGTAAATGTGGTTGCTTTACACAACTTTCGGTGGTCACGAATGCTTTAAGTTTTTGAAAAAAAAGATGCCGAAAAAATCTAGGAAAAAAATATATGAAAAAGTTTTGGCCTGAATTTTGAGAATTTAAAGTCTTGGTCAACATAATATTTTGATTTATGAAATTTAAGATTTAAAATTTTTGAAATTTCTCTACCTTTCTCGAACAGTTACTAATTTCAAAAAGATGAAAATTAAAAAAAAAATGTAAGCCTGAGGATATCAATTTTCGAGATTGGCCGCTGGGAGATAATCTCTGGTCAACATGCAAAACTAATTGATCCATCTTCATTATAACCAACTTTGAAGGCACGTCGGCTATTTAAAAATTTGAATGCTTTGTAGCTAAGATGAAAGAAACCATTACTGTCCGCCAATGATAAAAAGGCAGGCTTGTCGCTTACCAGAACTAGATATAAGAAGGTTGGAAACGATTGATTTGAGTACAAAATTAACAGTACAAATTGAGATGAAATTCTGTATTTTTGATCACAAACGAGCAAAGCAACCTAAAGTCATCAATGAATAGAAACCGTAAAACATGGCGGCGTCTCGCTTAAGATCTTGGGTGCCTCTCTCACCTTGTCATGAGATCACGGGGGAGAGAAGTTAGAAATAATATGCTTTGTGAAAATATGCAGGAGCCAGCATGGAATGGAGTTTCCAGAAAGGAAAGTAATTATTTCCAATAAGGATTCCAAACATTCGTCAGTGGTGGCAAAATTGATGAAAATCCCATTTCGTAAAACGGCGGAGTGCATATTTCAAAATCCTGTTTTCAATTATATATAAAAATTATCTATAGCAAATCGACGATTTTTTAGCCTTGATTAGCTGCCTTACTGCATTCCAGATCTATGAGAGAGAGTTCAAAGTTTTATTTGGGAAGAAAAGGAGGAATATCAATAATTGGCGCTTTGTAACCACTGAAGCGATTTTCGGCCGATCTCTTCCTCCAAGGAATAGCAGTTACTACTAAACCAATTTCGTCTATATATCTCGAAATTTAACACAGTGCTAAACTATGGTATATATTAATTTTCAGTTCATTCATTTGATAGGGTTAAATACCCAGATCCCACTTTTAATAGGAAAAATAAATCTAACAGAATACGGAATACTTCATACTTTTGTATTTTCTTTTCTTTTTAGTTTATGTTTATAACTTTTGTACTGACTTTTGCTCTATAGCCTATACAAAGCGTGTATTTTTAGACATCGCATCAATCGTCTCGTCGTCGGTATAGTCATGCAACTGTCCGCCTTGTTGGATCTAGATGCCAACTTCCTCCAATTCTGGCACGAAAAAGTCATTAAGAATGGGTCTAGATCGTTCCCCATTGACATTGGAAGTTATGTGAACCACTTACTCTGTTTGCCCATAGAGCACAACAAACCATCGCGGAATAAATTTTTTTTGTAAAAAACAGGATCGGTGGTCATCTCGGTTTGGGTCCATTTATCGAAAGTGAGACGTATTTGATGGTCGTTCGGCTTCAAGTCTTGAAATGGTGGACCAAACTGAGTATCAAGCGACATATTGGAAAAAAAGATTATCTTATTGAAAAGCAATCGTCTGAAAAAAACACCCTTCATCATTTAAATTAAAGGAGTGAGTGTTAATTAATATACAAGTGAAATTAAGGAATCTAAAAATAAATACAAATAAAATTCGTTAAACAGGAAATTCAATATATAAATATATATAAATATATTAAATATATAATATATATATATAACATGTTGCATATAATTTTGCCTTTATTCACTATAAATAATCTTGTGTTCGTTAGAAGGTATAAATCAATTCGGCCTTGCATACATACATATATGTATGTATACCTACACAGGTTATGCATATAAAACCATTCATATAAAAACACAAATATTCAATGACTAAATAATATTGGATATTAGCTGAAATATTTGTAATTTATATATGAAAACGGGAATTTCAAATGTTAGATATATATGGCGTAAGCTTTTTTCTCGAGAAATAAACCATTAAATATGCACATCTAAATATACGTACAGAACGTTTATTCACTTCATTAATAAGAATAGAATCTATATTAATATTACTAAATTTATTTAAATAAAAATCTATCCACAAGCAACGTGGTCCTCCTAATAGTCACTCATTTAAATAGATTCGCTCAAATCATTCACTCTCACTCAATTCAACAAAGGAACGTGGTGGAAATGGTTGGAACAACAAACCATGGCAGATGAAACAAAAACGAAATATTCCCCCAAACAAAACTTCATTCCAAACAAAAACAAAACCCGCTACGCCAAATGCCACTCTTCTCTCTCACTCACGCACAAAAACAATAAATGAAATATTAACAAAACCGCTCAGCTGTCAACAACGGAAATTTGAAGAAAAAAACCACTCACTGAATGTTTAAAACAAAATGACGAATTTATGAAGGCTGCAGTGTGAGTGCGTAAAAGAGACAGCCTATATTACCCACCGCCTTAAGCAAGGCAAGCGCTAACCAAGAGCTGACGACATTTTTGAATATACATTGGGCGGTGGTATGCAACTGCAATAACAAAGAGAGCAGCAATTTGTCGCCCATAGCTTTGTCTCGCTCCAGCTGCATTTCTCGTTCAATGCAAAAAGTGAGTAGGTTGCTGTGCAGAGAAAATATTCCAATTGGAAGCGCATCGTTCTTCAGAGCAGTGCCGAAATTTCTCAAACCAACCGAAGTCGTTGGTTCATCTCTTTCTAGCGCATGTCTGAGTCGTGATGGTTTGAATTTGCCTTGAATTGGAAGATAAAAGTTGCCCAAAGTGCTCTCTGGAGGTAAGCGCTCTCGTTGCTCTCGCTGGCTTGCTAGTAAATGAAAATAATATGTGTTGATATTCCATTTTTTGTATTAGCTTTGGCACGCAATACAGATGTATGTATTTAGAAGAAAATCTTGCTCGAATCTCTCGCTTGGCGGGTTGCCTTTCTTAGATCGCTTTCTGTGTTGAGAGCCATAGAATAACCGGTGCGTTGTCTTTGCTCACTCGGAAGCGCCTTAAAGCCACGCAGAGTGTCTCCTGCTTTGTATTTGCCTCGAAATTACGAGCGTATGGAACAATTTCCCTATGCTTGGCTATTATTGTTTTGCTTAGGGTTTCCATTGCGTTTATTCCTCAATTTCATTGCCTTCGCCCGGCTCTCCGTCAGGTGTTATGTCGCTCCATCGTCCAACCCAGCTGGTTGATCAACTGACCGTTTGCTTAACGTCGGCTGCCTCAAGTGTTGAAAAGATAAATTTCTCTGCTCGTCGACTCGTTAGATTTTCGACTTCTCGACTCGTTTGTGCCGCTCGCACGCTGGTATGCCTGTGTGCCTGTGTGCCTGTGAGCTTTTTTGCCTTTGTTGTTTTTCGCTAATACATACATACATATGCTTTGTTGTTGTTGACTACTTTTGCTATTGTTTGTTGTTGGCTCGTTGTGAATGGCCGTTTGCTCGTCGCTCAGGCAATTGTCGCCTCCATTGATCAGCTGCTGCTGCTGCTGGTGTTGCTTTCGCTGTTGCTGTTGCCGTTGCCGTTGCTGCCGCAGCCACTTGCTTGCCACTCGAGTGCGTTTCGCACAGTCGTCTCCAATCACACAGCAACGGCGGCGACGCTTACTCCATTTCCATTTGTCTATTGCCGACGCTTTCGCCTCACTACCTCCGCAGTCTGCGTGGCTATCACCGTGTCTTAGCTGCTTTTCGCCAAATCCTCGAAACAACTGTTTGCGGCGCGTTTGTTGTGCTGTGCCTAAGCTTTGCTGCCGTCGCCGCGCTCGCCATAAGCTCGTAGACGCGCACGGTGGTCTTGGGGCGGGCAGGCGCCACCTGACATTTCGCCAACAGCCGCAGTTTGGCATCTTCATTCATTGGTCAGCGTGACAATGGAGCGGTTGTCGTGTTAACGGATTTTCGAGTTGTCGCCGTCGCCACTTTACGCATTGCGAACTCGTACACAGAGCGTGTTGCACGCGTAGAGGAAAATAAATACGCGAAGCGATTCGAAACAAGGTAGTGTTGAAATAAACTGCTGAGAGTGAAAAAAATCGAAAACTAATTTGAAAAATATTCGAATGGATTGTGATTGTGTTGAAATATTTTTGATTAAGAAAAAATAAATTCAATTAAACTATTAAATTTAAATATTCGCTAATATAAATATATATAGTAAAATAATAATAAAAAAAATAATAATTAAATAACTTTTAAGGAAATACAATGCAAAAAAACAACAACAAACAAATAAAAGAGAATAACAAATTTCTTGCTTTATCCTCATTCGCCTGTTGAGTGCAAAATTATTTTTAAATTGTCAGCAATAAGCTAAAATGCTGCTGAGGAATACACCAACTGAGACACAGCAACTCCAACAAAAACAACAGGAACCAACAGCACCTCCAGCATTGCCACAAACACATTTGAAGCAACAGAAGAAGTCGGTCCATCAACAGCTCGTACATAGTCAACAGGAAATACAAAATTATAACATCAATAATAATATTAACAACAGCAACAACAACAACAATAACAATAACTATTACCTTAACGATAAACCGAATCTGAATTATTTGCCGGCGAACGCGCCCCATCACCTTACATCAACGACAACAATATTAGCAACTACAACAACACCACCAACGCCCACCACCGCTACCGCCGCCGCAGTGGCCGCAGCCGCTGCAGCTGCCACATTGTTGTTAAATCAAAGTGGAGTATTTGCAACAACAACGAAAACAACTGCCACGGCAGCCAGAAGAGCGGCAGCAGCAGCAGCAGCCGTAGCAACAACAAATATCATCAGTAACAGTAATTCCTGTGCCGGCGCCACGGATTTCTCAATTGCTGCGATAATGGCGCGAGGCGCTGCAAATGCCTCGAGCCGTGAACCATCCGAAAGGAGTTTGAGTGAGTAATGATGATGTACTTATCGTTCTAGCATACATATGTATGTACGTGCATACATACGTGTACATCCCCGTATATGTAAATATATAAAAATAGAGATTTTCAGTCATACATACATACGTGTATGTATGTAGATTTGTCAGAAGACATGATAGTGTCGTATTTGTTGTTATGTTTATATGTAACAATTTTCGCTTCCCTTCACCACAGTGATAATGTGATAAGTTTCACCAAACAAACAAATTTTATATGCATACACGTACATATATAAATCAAGCTGTTAAAGGAGTAAATTTGCGTAAAATATTGTACTAAACCACTTCTTACTGAAATATGGAAAAAAATCCTCTGATACCAGGCCTCTATAAAGAATATCTACATATCTTTATATTTTGAGAAAATATTAAATATCTAGAATTTTCAAAATAGTAGTTTATTTTGTTTTGATAATAAATAAATCACTTAGGTTCAATAATTTTTTTTAATATTTTTTTCTAAATAGAAAGATATTGTATTTAATTTTATCATTTTCCTCAATTGAAAGAAAGCTGAATTTGATAATTTTTGCAAATATAAAATAAAATATTAATTGCGGCAGATAAATTTGGTTTCATACATACATATTCGTAGCCAGTAGCCAAATTACATAAGAACAACTTTTGAGCTTTAAATTTTTCCTTCAACATTAAAAATACTAAATTGTAGATTTCTTTTGAAATCAAATACAACAAAAATACCTCCTTGAAGGCGCTCAACGCCTATCAGCTTTAAATGAATTTATTTTCCTTAAAAACTGCTGGAAATAATTGCAACGCTTTTCCCAATTATCGAAGCATATCAAATAGTTACGTTCTGGTATGGCCTTCAGAGCGCGTGCCCATTCTCCTCAATTGATGCCCTCGAAGTGTTCTCCTGAGTTTTTGGAAGAGCCAGAAGTCACTTGGAGCTAAGTCCACGTTTCATCTCCAGCAATTATGCATTTCAGCTTGCCTTGGTAGTCAGAAAGCATGGTTTCAGACACATCAACGCGACGAATTTTTTTCATGAAATTGAATGTTTTTGGAACCAAACGAGATTTGACTTTTCGAAAGCCCAAATAGTTTTTCAAAATCGTTTTTAAAGATCTTTCTGATATTCCAACCATATCAGGAAGGTCTCTAACAGCCAGTCGACGATTTTTGCGCACTAATTCCTTAATTCCATTGACGTTTTGCACATCAGTTGACGTTGATGGCCGTCCCGAGCGCTTCAAGTCATCAACACGTTTCCGACCCTCTTTGAAGTCTTTGTACCACTTTTCACGTTCTTCTGCGACATAGTTGAGTCCCCAAACGTTTTCTGCAGCATCCTCATCGTTTTAGCAGCCGAAAATTCGTTCCTTCTTTGCACAATTAAATCTAACATTATAATAATCGCCGAAGGCACTTTTAGGCGTTTAGTAAACACAAGCGCATCTAAAATACGAATGATGACATTGATATAAAATTTGGCGTAAATGTCAATAACAGTGCTATCAACACTAAAAGAGGAATTAACTCGAAATTTTAAATCCGCAAAGCTCAAATTAAAAATTCACCTTACTTTTTCCCACAGTAGTACACCACACGCTCTCTATGGAACTTATGGTTCCATGGTCCACTGTTTCTGTAGAGCAATCAGTAAAAAATTCATCTCGTTCGTATATGAATTTTAGCCTAAATGCTTAAAGCTCCTCATAAAAACCATCAGCCGTTCGTAGTATTAACTATAGGTCCCGGCATTTGTTGGTAGAACATCAAGACGCATAACCACAAATTGGAGGAAGAGCTCGGCAGAAAAAATCGCTTCAACCGTCTGCGACCGTAATTCGAGGGTAGCCTTTGATGTATTATATAAGGCCCCGACATCGTTGCAGAACATCTTCCAAAATTGCTATTAGAAAAGCTGAGAGGGCTCTTTCGCAGACCACTCTAATAACACTGGAAACCATCTGGCTCATCATGACAACGTAGACGCGCCACACCCTGGCAAAGAAAGCTAGATTTCTCCGGACTGCCTTTAAAGCCGGATAATTTCTTGGGCTAGGTAAAAGTTTAGTACCTCGTACTGACTTCTCGCATTTTTTTCTTTACTTTGAACCTTGTGGATTTTGTAGGGAAATCACTAGAAATAAATCTCGATTTTCGTAGCGAAGTACAAAAAATTAAAAAAAAAATTATATTCTTTTTATTAACTTTAAATATGCAGTGGAATTATTAAAGTCTCATGATTCTGGAAGGCACCTTATATATTATATGCCACCAAGGAAAAATTTTGTCAATGCTTTCCTCCTGGATTGCTGACGAAAATACGCAGTGTAGCTACAGCGAGTCTTTTCTATTTATAAGAACCTTATACACCATGCTCTTCATCTGTATTTTTGAAAAGATTTTCACGCTCATAGAAATCAAGTTTTCAAACTAACAACAGTTCAGAATGTCCCACTCCGATTGGGTTCGCTGAGACTTGCAACTGCCATAATCTTGCTGATTATCTGTGATTGTTTTGATATGAATATTTCTTTGTGAAAGAGAGAAAGAGCCAATTTACGAATACTGGAGAAGTTGGTATTAAAATCAGTGCATAAAAATCTGAAAAGGTTTTGAATGTTTGTTTTGCGCAGCATCAATAGGAGCCCCTTCTCAAAAAGAAGTATTGTCATTAATCTTTTGTACTAGAATACATAACCGTGTCTAGCAAGCTCCTAAAAATTAGATTGGAAATGAAAAAATTTGAGGTATCGAATTAAGTCGAACTCATAAAGGAAAACAGTGTTACCAGATTTTTTACGCGATCCGGCCAAACGGCCCTTAAAAGGAGCTAATACCAGTCAAAAAATGTAATGTTAATATATTGGCCCTGGTAGAAATATCCATGGGGAGTTTCTGCTCACTCAATTTGTTCGCGATTAGGTTTTCATCTATTTTTTGTTAGCGTTTGCAGTAATGCCAAAGAAAATCATAAGTAATTGAAAATTTACAAATCTAACTATTTAACAAAAAAAAAATATATATATATAACTTAAGCTCTTATACACCAGATAAAATAATACTTTTCACAGTTTTCGTCTAACAATTTTTGATTTTAACGTTTATCTATTTATTTTTTTTTGTTCTGACAGAAACATTTTTAATTTATTTGACCTAATATTAAAAAAAAAATGGAATGATCTGAGAAATAAAAGAATTTTAAATACTTTGCCAAAGGTCAACAAACTTTCGAACTGTTGTACCTTACATGTATATTATATTTGATTTTTGCTTTGTACGGATTGTCAAATATATATTTATTGAAGTCCTCTTTCTAGGACTTGGAGATTTCATCGGTTTTTAAAAATGCAGAAATTCCCAGTTTCACTAAATTTTCGTACAAATAACGAGCACAAAATCGCAGACTTGAAAATTCTATATATTTGAAATAAAATTCAAAAAAAAAAAGTTTCGTTTATTTTTGATTGATAAAGTTTGGTTGATCATAAAAAATGTAGTAATAAATTTCGTGAATTAAATTCTTTCCTTCTTTTCCCCTGATTTACATCCAGGAAGATTGTGTAAAGATTTTTGGCCGAACGCCTGAGACATTTCTAAGAAATCGAAAACACCGACTTTCAAAAACATACCATTCTAAAACAAATATTATATGTGTAAAGTTTCAGAAGTAGCCTACATAATGTTAATTTTTTTTAATTCAATATTTTCAAAATCCGTATATATTCATCGAGTTGGCTAAAATGTCTACCTTCCACTAACTTCTTTTTCCCAAAGTAAAATAGCTTTCAGGTGAAGGCTAGTAAATAAGCTATAAAGGAGTCTTAGAGGTCGGAAGCTTCTTGCTTCGATCGTATCTTCGTGCAAATATGTAGCACTAAGAAGTGCTTCTGAAGGGACTGCATATCAAAGCTTGAATACAAATTTTAAATATAACCAAGAAAAATTTTTACGTTGATTGCTTAAGAGCTTTAAAAGCACAAAGTTTCACGGAGCGAGTTTTAAATAAAAAAAGCTTTTGTCAACATTTTTTAATTGACCCACAGAAACTTCAAAATTTGATTAGTAACCAAATAGCATGGAAGAAATCGAAGCTGCAAGTTTTTTTAAAAATCCTCTTTCATGCAGTATTTGAAAATTTAACAGCTTTAATTTGTTTTTGTGGAACCAACGACTTCTTAGATTGTGAAGTGACGAAAAAATTATGATAAATTGAGCTGTAAAGCAAATAAAATTTCTTCTGCCTTATATTTGAAATAATGTCCATCAGCGGACAAGCTTCCAACATACATAAATATATGCATGTATGTATGTATGTATGTATTTGCATATGTATATGTGTGCAAATATTTACCACAAGTGTTAATTAGTATGTTAATCTGTGTGCCATGACTAGAAATAATTTTGCTTAAGCCACATTTTTTTTTTTTTCAAACATTTAAACATAATAATTTTCTGTTTAAGCTTATGTTTGCTATTATTATAATATTTATATGCAAATGTGCACACTTTTGAAAATCAGTGAGGCAAAACGGCAAGAAAAGTTTCAGGCGCGCTTAAATAAAAATTAAGAGAAATAATTATTATTATTTATATGCTGAGCACCACACACACACACACACACACACACACAAACACACAGTCATACACTTGAGCAAATACAAATATAAATTTATTGTATTTGTTATTGTAGTATGAATTTATTTATGCATATTAATAGTGAAATGCCTTGCAAATAACACAAACAAAATGCTACTAAGTGTGCTTGATAATTCACATATATGTACGTAAATATGTATGCATGTATAGGCGAGTATGTTTATTGTGTACTAGCCAAGAGGCAGGCAGCAGGCAGCAGGCAGCAGGCAGCACTCAGCTCAGCCGCCAAGCGTGGAGACAGACGAGACAGCTGAGACAGCCGACAGCGCATGCAAATAAATGTTTTTCACACTTCAACATCGTTGAAAGGAAGAGGAAACGAATCATTTTGGGCTTTTCGAAGAAATCATTTTAATGACTAAATAGTATGTTTATAAAACATACATACATACATACATACATACATACATACATACATACATGCATTTGTATGTATGCAAGTGAGTTGTGTGTGAATGCTTGTCAGCTGTACACATCAGTTTGAAATGCAAATTTTCAACATTTTATTATGATTTTTCATCTTCTTATTCTTCTTCTTCTTCTTCTCACGCTGCTGCCGCTGCTGCTCATATTTCTATGCTTCTGGTGTTGAGAACTGACAAAGTTGACCAATAAATTTGCGCGGCGCACAAACTTACGTTGCCGCATTCACACATACATACATCTGTATATATGTATGTATATATGCATGTATTTTTAGTTTTTTGTGTGCGTATAATTGTGTGTGTGTTTTAAAATCAAACAAAAAGTGTGAAAAATCATAAATGCAACGCGTAAAATGTCATAATTTATGTGGCAATGAGTTTGCAACACATAATAAATTGAAACTATTTTCAGAAAATTTTGATTATTTTGTAGACTTTTTATTGTAGATTAATTTTAGGGGCACAGCATTAGTTTCATCGTTTGACGCACATTTTAAGAAATCAAATGAAGGAGATAAATACTAAAAAAAATTGTTTTCTAAAAAAATACACTCGAACAGAATGCATTAACTAAATAGAGGAAACTTTTAATAATTTGCCAGAATACTCCAGAAAAATTAAAAAAAATTTCAGACTTTCAGGATCGCGTCTTATCCTTGAAATGGGTTTTAGGGCTCTGAAGGTACTCGCTTTAAAAGATCTCAATCAGTTCAGTTCCGGTTTGTACAGGTTATTCACAGATATAGTTTCAGAATCTGCTTCACCGTTTCGATTGCATAGATTTAAGTCTTTCTGGCTGATCTAGAGTACAATTTCACGTCCCCGCAACAAGTAAAAACTATTAAAAATAAATTAGGTGCCGAAGTAGTGCAGAAAATACAAAGATATATTATTTTTTCTTAATGTGGAAATCTTTTAAGTTCTCATATATTTCCAGATGGTTCTAAAATGAACATGGTGGGGGTAAAGTTTACTGCTCCCAACCAGAGATCAGACATCTCTGCCTTTTGACTTTTAAGCCCCAGGAAGCAGACCTATCTATAAACGGAATGCAGATTTGTGTAGATAAGCACGTAGCCTTTAAAAAACTCGGTGTAGAAGAGTCTATTGGCTACCAGAGTCTAAGGACATCGAAAAACATAAAATAACCGTTAAAAGTATATTAATCCGCCTACACCTAATTGGGTTTTCCGCAACTGGTCTCGGGCTCAGAACGGCTCGGACTACAGCCAGTTTTCGCTGATCCTTCAGACGTATTCCTCAGCCGATTTAGCGGGGGTGATTTCAATTTCAATTTATTCATTCAATGACTTAAAAATCTTACAGATTAGAAGTACAAATTAATTAAAGACTTAAAACTATGAATGTTTACTAAGAATAAAAAGCATTAAGGATAGAGCCAAAACTAGGTCTAGGGAATGCGAAATCAATATCAAGTCTTCTAGACTTTAATTAAATTTAAATAGAACGTATAATGAGAACGCAAAGTTCTATGTTTGAGGAATATTAAAGCTAATTTGCTCAAGCATCTCTGGGCAGTACACTAAGGCATTGATGATGTCATAAATAAATAGTAATGACTGGACAGATCTTCGAAGAGCAAGCGATTTGAGATTTATTAGCATACTTCGGGAGGTATAAGAAGGTAGGGGATCAGAGATATGAAGCGGAGCAAGAGCCAAGCGAATGAACCTACAAAACCCACTGGACGGCTTCAAGTCTAGAGGAATGCATGGAGGAAATTGGATTCAAATGAAGCTAGCATATTCCACCATATCGGCGCAAAAAATAAAGGTCGAAATATACTCTAGGAATGATGCAGTTGATGTGATTAATCAAGGTAAATCACACATCAAACAGCACACCAAGAACCATAAACTCATTTATAAAATATAACTTATTATCAAACAGATAATTTGTCGACCTGAGCACATTTGAGCACTTTGAAAAAGTAATGTTAAAACATTTTTTTGTATTGAGGGGGAATTATTCCGAACGCTCCAATCGGCTAAATTGTTAAGATCCTCCTGTAAAAGTAGAACGTCTGAAAAAAATCGAATGCATTTAAATAGTTTTAGCTCGTCTACATAAAGAAGGAAGTTTGAATTCCCAAAGCAAGTTCAATAGTCATTTGTAAAAAGAAGAAATAATAATGGACCAAGAATGCTACCTTGAGGTACCCCAGAGGTGGCCCCAAAGGCACAAGATCTCGTATAATCCAATTGAGCAAAAGAAAATCTATCGGAGAGATATGATCTAGGCGAAGATAGAAACGAAGAGTGAAAACCGAGGCCCTCTAGCTCAGATAATAAAATTCTATGTGGGACAGCATCAAAGACTTGGGAAAAATCGGTAAAGACGACATCAACTTGATATCCCTTCTTAGAAGTTGCAATGCAATAACGAGATAGAAAGGCTAGGTAAGTGCCAGTAGAAACGACCGCTGACAAAACCATGCTGATGCGGGCTAATGGAGCTTTTAGCGCACTTAAACAACGGAGAGATCGAAGCAATTATTCCAACGATTAATGAAAACACCAGACGACAACAAAAGATTGAAAGTGTAACACTGCACATTTTAAGTACACAGAAGAAAGCCCGTCCAAATCGCTACCGAAAGAGAACTGCAAAGCCGCAATCCCATTCAAAACATCCAGTTCTGGGACTGAAAGACTACCGAAATCGTAAGTCTGCGAAATCTCCAGGTTACTACACACAGAAGTGTCAACATTCCCACTGTATTGTATTTAGATTTGAAAAATTCGGCAAAGAGATTTACGGTATCCAAAGTGCTTTCAGTATTCCTCCCACAGTAAAACAAGCAAGAGGGAATTTTGGAACAACATTTTTAAGAGCGGATATATTTTCAAAAGGCTCTTCTGTTTTAACTCTTCCTCAAATCGGAAAATATATTGCGTTTGAAGAATCCTATGGGGCACTTAAAAAGTTTTCATATAAAAAGTATATTTAACCTTATGAAGGTGATCGTTACTGACCTTAAAAAAATTATAAAATTAGTTTCTGAGACTTTTTAACTTTTTTAAACGCTTCGTATACCGCGGAAGCTCATGCAAACGAGGACAAACAAGAGAAAGACAACTAGAAAGGTTAACTAACGCTGTGTTATTTTTTAAAAAATTTAGGGATCCCCAGGAGCAGCAGTTCAAATGGCCATAATTAGCTCACACTTGGCACAAAATACTTTGATTTCAGTAATTAGTGAAGAAAGTCCCACATAAAATGTATTAATTTCAATGTTAATTAGGCCTCGAATGATGGAAATGAACAAAATTTGATGAGCTGATAATTGCTGCAGCACATTTTCAATAAAATTCAATAAAAAAGGGGCACATCGAGGAAATTAACTAAATCCATTATATTTATATGCATATAGACATAAACATACATACATGTCGGTATTTATTTATATATATAAACATAAATGCAATAATAAATAACATAAACACACATACATTTAATGCATATAAATGAGAGAAACTCACACACATGTCGCATCATCCGCTGCAATAGTGAATATGTGCAAATGTTGCCGCAAATCGTTGCAATGCCAATTGGCCAAGTCATTTGCATAAAATAATTTCATAAAACAAATAATTGAATTTCCTATCTGAAATATGCATCTGCGCGTCGACGGCCAGCCAACCTACAGTTACGCACAGCGCACTTGGCACACAAACTTTGTTGCACTGTTGCACTGCTGCATTGTTGCCACACATTGTTGGCGCTGTCATAACGGTCGCCAACTTAATTGAGCATATATAAGCGAAATTGCGTCTCATTAGCGGCAGTGGCGGTGGCGGTGGCGGCTGCGGCGGTAGTGACTATTTTCGAATTGCATTCATATTTGCTTTTAGTACTTGTATGTGTACATATGCATGTCTGTATGTGAGTGCATGAGATCATATAAATAATTGCGATAACAGAGGGGCTGTTCCTGGCTGTCACGGCGTTGTGCTGGTACAAGTTGACAGCAAGCGAAATTACTTCAGACTAGTGAGCGCCACCGAGGGGCGCAGAAGGAGTGGCTTGTTGTCAGCAGCACTCCACCGATACAGTTAGATTTCACAACAAATTCATACGCTGAGTAGAAATTAGCACTTAAATATATGAAGCTCATCTATATATATTGACTTTGCTTAATGCAACTTTGCTTCCCATACACCACAGGTCCCGTTTCCGTGGAGCCCTACCCCGAGCCGGATGATGATGTCGACGTCGATGTTGATGTTGATGTTGTCGACTGCAGTGACTCCGAGTCACCGTCGGTGCGTCCACTGCGTCTTCACTATCGTCAACAACTGCAACAACAACAACATCAACAGCAACAACAACAACATCTATCAATAGCGCATCAGCATAAAGTGCAAAGACACCATCACCAGCAACACACACACACGCACAATCAACAAGGCTCGATTAGTGCTGGCGCTGGCTCAGGAGGTCAACAACAATCGAGTCGTAGCAGTAGTCGCGGACGCACTTCCCCGCAGAGCCCCGCGAGCGTAAATGCGAATGAGGAGGATCGCCTGTCGCCGGAGCCAGCGCAGGTAAAACGCAAAGTCAGCAAACCACCCATTTTTAGCGCGAGGAAATTTTCGATTAATTTGGTTTTATTTTGTTGACAGTCCGCGCCGAAAATTGTTGGCTCCTGTAACTGTGATGAATTGCTGCCGGTGCAGTGTCACCTGGAGACAAAGGAGTTGTGGGATAAATTTCACGAATTGGGCACAGAGATGATCATAACGAAGACTGGGAGGTGAGTACGATTTATAATATGCTGAAATAATACCCAGAGAGCTTTTACAGTTAGCCAAAGGGATTGGAGCTCCCCGAAAATTATCTTTGAAGAAATTCAACTTAAAATGATTAAATATCAGGCTCTCATATTAAATATTTTCGTTTCTATTATTTATTAGATTTAATCATTTTATAAATGAGTGGCAACCCTAATCAAAAATATATTACTTTTAATGTTTACTCAGACTCTCCCCGTTTGATACCAATACTGTAATATTAAATTGATTTTTTAAATTTTTATAGTTTCTTTTAAAACGTGGCAACCTCTTAACTTTGTTTTAGCTTTATGCTGTACTTCCAAAAGCACTTCCTGATCACCGAGCTTAGTTTATTAAAAAATTCAAAATTTTGACTTATGTATATGTGTACTCTCATACATACATACATACATACATAACATACATTATATGTAAGAATGTGAAGCAAACGAATTCCCATTGCAAGCCCCGTTCGAAGCAAGCACGCGTTGCATGTTACATACATATATGTATGTATATGCACACATATTCATATGTAGATATATTTGCTGCATTTTCTAGCCCCATCGCAGAGCTGTGTATACGTATGTATATACGAATATGTGTATATGTGTATAGGTATGTACGTATGCAAGTACTTGACGCTGTTATTTCCGCTTGCACAAATATCCTTTGCTCTGTAATTACGAAAAGGACACCGACGGCAACAACGACAATTCGCACGCATTTTCCATGTACAACTATGTATGACTGGGAAGCACACAGGCACTCTCACACACACAGGCACTCTCACACACACAAACAAGTCACAGTTGCATGCAAGTGACTTCGAAACAATGTTGACTTGTTGTTGTCACAAGTCTCAGCGGGTCACTCATTAGCTGCTTTGCTTCACTGCCCACTTTGCAAATAAATGGAATTACCCTTTCGGGTTTTCGGTCGAAATGTGGGTGCGCTTTCGTCACACACAAACTCGCACATGACAAGCGTAAAGTGCTGTCTACGTACGTACATACAAATGCGCATAAGCTTGTTAGGCTCCTCCGGTGTTCTTGTAAGTCGGCTTTCGCTTGCTTCTCTTTGAAGATAAGAATCTATGTCAGCACTTCGTTTATTATTAGCTCAGAATGCTTTTATTCATATTTTTGCAATATTCATTATAATTGCAATGCAAATTGTTTGACGTCTGTTGTAGGAGGAGTGGCACTGGGGCGTACCTATTTCGACTCATTGCCTATTAAGACGAAAAAAATTCGAATTTCAACATAACAGTTATTGTATAATTCAAACGAAACTAAAAAACTATGAAAAACTTGACAAAATATTCGCTTTAGGAAAGGCTTTTTTATTCTGTTTAAGCTTTTACCTCGTATATCTTTCATTTTCTGTTAACTTTAAAATTTCTTGCTCATAATTTTAGTTGGCAACACTTCTAACCTTTAGTTATTCAAATAAATGGTTTCATCACCGGTTTAAGGTACAATTACCAAATATTTTACATGAAATTCGCACGGGACAAGGCACAAAATCTGTTCTCAAATCAAAAACTCTAACATCGATTTCAACGGTACATATCTAAAGCAATTAAAGTATTGATAATTTGGACAAATTCAACTATGTTTCTTAAAAAAGTCTGTAATAAATTTAGATGTTTTGGGAGAAAAGTATTCAAGTCTACTAACTGAGAACCATTTTTATGAGATTTCCGAAATCAATAAAAATGTAAAAAAGGTATTTTCTTTTATCTACACGTATATTATTTCCACTAAATAATATCAGAAATCTGAATGGCTTTTTAACCAAAATATATATTAAAATTAAAATTTTTAAATATCCCATAGAGCTTTTATATTTGTGAAATTATAAGCCAACTTACAAAATTTGACTCTCCGCTAGTTTATTGCGATTTTAGGCAAAAAATTTCGTACCGCCAGACCGTATTAAGAGCTCAGAAATGTAGAATAGTAAAATCTAAAATCCTTGAGCCTTACCGCATATCACTTATCGTGGTGGCTAATCAAGCCCCTTTTAACCTAATGAGGGTAGCTGGACACGGTAGTATACCAGTTAATAGGATGACGAACGAACATGCAAGGAAGGGCACTTACCTTTCACTTTCGCCATCATGGAAGAGTATGGACATGTCGCTCTCTACTTGTAAGCTCAATTAATCAAAGCTGCTAACACAAAATGGAAAACTCTCAACGGTTGCAATGTTACCAGGGCAATGGAGCCAACAAAGAGTAAAGTTAGATATTCTTACAGAGTACGTAACTTTGACGACTTGGGTGAGATAGCGGGGGCAAAGATATGACGATTTTTAGGTTTTAGAAACTCCACACAATGATTTCACTTACGGGTGGGGTGTTTAGGATGCTCAGTGAGGTATCATAACGGGCCCATTTTGTGGCCTTAATGAGCTGATGCCCGGCAACCACTAACCTAATCTCCAGAATCTTGCCACTTCAAATTTTATCTGCGGAGAGCCTTTTTGTCAGTTATACTCATACATATATAATTCAAGGTTTAATATTATATTTATAAAGGGAAATATGGTTTGCGATGACATTCTGCACTTGGTTCTGTCAACAAACTTCTTCGGCGACGGTGATGGGAGCTTATGGCCTCCAATTAATTATATACAGAATAAAATTTATTTGACGGATTAGTCCAAACTCTGCTTGTCGATGGTGATTAGATGAATAAATAACTAATTTTTCCACGAATTTGAGCTAAGCCTTTATTCCTGTGAGAGACAAATTCCGGTGGTCCCTTAATGCAAGTTGCGTACAGGACTACGCTGTGGCCACGACTTTTCTTCTGAGTCGGCAAATGGTTGATCTTCCTCATGAACTCATCTGAATTTAATGTTTGTTTTACCGTCTGCACATTGCCGCTACTGGTCTCACACGCAACCCCTACCAAAGGGGTAAGCACTTCATACCAAACGTGCCGCTACGCTATTAAAAGCTGTTGTTGCTGCCACAAAATGCTCTGCCAACGGTTTTCTATGAGCCTCTGACATGCAAATACGCATGCGTAAGAGAGATTTTTCATAAATGTCAGGGAAAGAATGAAAAAAGTTTGCAAAAGTTGTGAAAGAAGAAATAAAAAAACGTACTTGGAAGAATTTCACGTCTACAAGTTAATTTAGATTCTTTGGCTAACGAGAATTTGCATTTTTTAATGTGAAAATGTCAGCAAATTCTTATCTAATTGAAAAAAAATTAATGCAAATTTGAATTTATTGCGAAATTATGCCTGCATCTTAAGCAAGTAAAAGATTACAACAACACGTATATGCACTTACATAAATACATACGTGTACATACAAATATGTTTGCTATTGACTGCTTACCACAGCGTCCCTTTGTCACTGTTTTCCTGTATAAAAACAAAAACAATAACAATAAACACAAAGCGTAGCTTGGTTGCGGTGAGCAGCGGCCTAACACGTGGTCAGCCAGGCTTTTGTTACGCCGTCAGTGGCCGCAGCAGTGCCACCGTCGGCGATGGCCAGCTCACTCACTCAAAATGAGGCATGCAACAGTAGCAAAAGTGGTCGCAGCGGTTGCCCAGTGAAGATTCTCCCAGCTATTGTTGAGCGAGTTAGCAATGCTTTGCGTTTAATATAAGAATGTGCCAGCCAAAATGATGCATTTCCAACAGCTACACACATACTTACGCGCATTCTTCGACGTACATAAATATATTTGTGTGATGTACTCGTATAAGCCACGTCTCAGAGTGTTTTGTAGGTGCCAAAATGTTTGCCAACACTCGATTTTGTACGCTCCGAGCGTGCAAGCAGGACGAACGGTAGCTGCTGCGTCAGTCAAAAGCGGAGCTGCTGGCTCCCCCCATGCTGTATTTCCGAGAAATTGAAAATGAATTTGAGAGAATTGAATTTTGCCAAAAGTGGCATTTCGTGTTTAATTGCCACAGTGTTGTGGCAGCGTTGAAAATTGTGATTTGCACGCCACACCTTGGCGAGCTCAATAAAAATCCATTTTGATGGTATACAATACTCGTACGTACAGACGTATGCACATACAAAATTTTGATTGACGAAAAATCGGTAAAAATCGAAAATGAAATGACGCGCTTATTAGGCGGCAAGCAATTGGTGTTGGTAAGGTGTAAAATTTATTTATGTACATATGTATTGTATGTAGCAATGCCTTTTCCCCCTGGAACACATGAAACAACTGAAACGCGTTTTTCTAAATTTTTCAACATAAACGGAAAAATATTAGTCAGTTCCCGTACTCCTTTTGGTTTCGCGATGATAAGACTTGAGTCCAGAGTTAACTCTTAATGAGCATGCAACGATAATCAGAATTTCTAGCCCAGCGTAGAACGATTTCTGAAGAAAACGCCGCGAGCCAAAATATTATCAAAGATAGAACGTGGCAAAATGTTGGTATAGTTCGAACTCGAAATATCTCAAGTTTCGGAATAAAATGCAAGAGATCGGTGCGAGGAGCGGGATTTCTTAAAGGGCTTAAGGACTTATAATGTTTCAAGTCAGTCGGGAAAAATATCAGATTGATGAAAGAATATAATTTATTGCCTCGGCAGTAGAAAGCTCTTATGCGATCTGCAGAAGAATCCTTTGGGACTCAGTAAACTATTGCTGTTTGAAGCTAATGTTCATCAGTGTGACTCTATTAGTTGGAATGATTGGAATATTGAGGGCTCTGTGAAAGTGCCCTTTTACCTTTCCAAACGATTGGGAAGAGTTTCTAGAACATTTAAATCAAGAGCTACGCTCTAATTACAGTTCATAGAGTCACGAATTTATAGCAGAGAAAACAATATAGTGTTGAAAAATATCCTCGTTCTTTTTATCGGGACTTACAGGGAGGTGCCGCATTCATGTGAGCATTGATATGAGTCGATTTTCGACTGATTGCTCCATAGGAAACATGACTGGCTGGCTTCCTTTCCGGACTTAAATCCCTATTAGAACGTGTGGGTC